GCTCTTACTATATGGCTTCTAAAAAGTATGATCACCAACTACTTTCTGCACAGACAATATGAAAATAGTGATTTTGGGGTATTTTATAGTTGGTTTCCATGGTGAAATTCATATATCATAACTTAAAACATTGATGGGAATATAGGGTGAAAATGCATTAATATGAATTTTTATGGCAATAATTGTAAAAAGATTCTTGTATGTTTTTCTCTTAAAAAATATTTTGTACTGTATGAAAAAAACAACAACAAGTATTACTTTTAAAAAAAAAGTATTAATTCGGTTCGCTCTTACTTAACAGGTTGTGTACCCTTGAATGACCTTCATTGTGTTTCTATTTGGAATGCGCTTTTAATAAAGCAACTACTGCGTAAGACTGTTTCATCAAATGGGAAAACTAAAGAAATAATTGTACTACAATAACTAGCACAAAAATGGAAATTTAGCTCTCTTGTTTCTTGAAAAAAAATGTCCACTAACCTCAATTTTGTTTTTATTTTTGGTATACTGAAGGCATTAATCTATAATAATGAAGGCATAGAGGAGATTGCATACAATTCCTGATTTGGTGCGAACCACCTCAAACCATATAAAAATTTATTACAGTGAATCTTGGGAAGAATGCACAAGAAGAGAGACAATGGAGGAAACAAGTCTTCTTCTTGGTGACGTCAGTTTTGCGTATGTCCAGAATACCGTAGTGAATGATCTTAATTACCACTATGTCACAATATTTACGAGGTCAGAGGTTGATATTAGCCACAAAGCAGAACCAGAGAATCCAGAGCCGGAAAAATGTGAGGGTAGGTATTGTGCATTATTATACATCTGTCACCACAACGCCGTAATTTTGCAGTATTTTATGGGTATTTTCATCCTACCATATTAGGAAATGCAAATTCCAAATATGGAATGATTATACGCATAAGCATCCTCTAATAATAAAAACAAAACATGGCTGCGACCAGAGTTTCACCGGACTCCACACAAAGAAGTTTGCTGATTCTGTTCTAAACTTTTTGGATTTTGGCATTCCTGTGATGTATCCTTGGAAGGAAAAGATGTATACGGTAATAATAAGGTTATTACGAAGATACCTCAAAGGATACCTCAAGGTATCAGACAGTACGCCGTTGCATCAGCCTCTGCTGGGCGTCTGTCGATACTACCACTGTACTGTTTTCGTGCATACTTTGAGGTATCCTCGTAATAACCTCATATTATTGGCGATCTGCTCCGCTGAGTTTGCCTTGGACATATCTCATTCTTCTCAGCTTGAGTGTGGGCCTAAAGTAACCATTTGTTTTTTTTTGATATTTTTTTCATTGTCAAGAAATTTGATATTAGGGTAACTTTTCGCCAGATTTTTTTTTCTTTAGCTGGGCTTATTTCGTTCAAACTTGACATGCAGGTCCCACCAGTAAGTGGATAAATTTGGAAGGAAAAAAAAGTTCTGTCCTACTGTTTCCATGACAACAGTTGAAAACTTGATTTTTGGTCATAGCTTCGTGCAAAATTGCAGACATCATAAGTTTGCTTAAATTTGCTATTTTTTATTTGAGTTGATGCCAGTGCTTCTTTTACTGGATTCACAAGCATAAGACGCGCATTCAGTGCTAGCCTAAATTGACTTGATTGGTTAAAACACTGCTGGTGTTAATAAACCTCTATAGAATTCTCTTGTCTCTGTTCAAACTTGAAGGGTTTGTCATACCTGGCAACACCTGACTAATTTTTTTTTTTTTTTTTTTTGACTGAATGGATCGCCAATCAGACTACTGGCTTGTTGTTAAATTTAAATTACTGTCTATTAATAAAAGATACAATCGTCTGTAGTCTGATAATATTTCTACAACAATATAATGCAATAATTAAATTTTGTTTGTACATCTTCGTTTTTTTTTTATAAAATTGAATGCATGTATATTATATTATCAATTCTATTGAAAGATTCTTTCACAAGTAAAATAACACTATAATATGCTTTTTGAAGTTTAATAACAACTTTCTTATTTAATTTGTTTCAGGATGGGAATGGATCAAATGGAATGAACTTCCCTCCGATAATAATTTGTTCTGGTCTCTTTTAGTTGCTAAGCAACAAGGTCTGAACCCCTTCCAGTCAGTTCAAAAGAATGTACTAAAGATACCATGATGAGAATACATGTGTATATATTCATCACTAACTGTATACAGTGTTGTAGATGAATTTCTGATTGATTGGTTACACAAAGAGCAGTTAATTTATTGTATTATAAATCCTATAAACTAAAAAGAAATGCACATATTTGCAGCGGGGCCACATCGAGTGTATAGCTGTGTTTTGTGGCCAGCTTTTTATCTACATCACTGGTATGGTATGTTTGCTATATAAGCAGTTATAACAGCATTAGGAAGCATACCACTATCTGAAATAAAATGTGGTTGTACCACTCTATGCATTGTGACCTATTGTTTGGATTGTACGTTTATTCCTGTGAATTCACATTAGTCTCTGTATTTTTATGAAAAATTTTAAAAATCATATCGTATTTGCTCTATTAGAAGCTGCATGTGTTGTATAATGTATCTTTAATGATATGACTCATTTTGACATTTTTTACACATCTGACATTCACACATATTCTACTAATAGAGCAATTACAGTACTTGTGTTCATACTGAGATTACATGATATCTCACAGTTTATGCAACGGAGCCTTCTAGATCTACCGGTACAGTTGTTTATTATAAACATTTAACACCTTGTCACAGGTTTCCCACTGAACTCTTCAAAAAGTGTCCATATTTATGGTTTCAAACAAGTCTTACATATAAGAAATGTGTTGCTAATGTCTTGAAAAAGGTCTGACAAATCCAATTTCAGGTATTCTATTTTATATCCACAGTCTCAGACTTGATAACTTGCAACCAATTATGCTAGATCTTTGACAGTCTATAGTTCAGTTAGAAATAACACTGACTGTGTTTTGAAAATATTCTGATTGCCCATTCAAATTGTTTTCTTTTTTTATAATATTTTTTGTGATTGTTAATTTCATCTCAAAACATCCATAACAAGTGACATAATGGTCGAAATTGCTCTGTTGTTTTTCTAGAGCGTCTTTGTCAACAAAGTTGATAATGTTCTGTAGGATGAGATATTTGCCATGGTTTTTAGTGTCCCACAATGTTCTTGCCATATCATAATCATGGTACAAATGTAGTTTATTCGGTTCCCATGACAATTATAATTGTTATTATCTTGCTACAATTCTCATAAAGGTCAATCTATGGAACCTGTATACCAAGTTTCAAAGCAATTGAGCATGTAGTTTTCAAGAAGTTGAAAAGTAGCATTTTTTACCACAAATGACATAAATACTCTCTAAACATAGAGAATTAAAGATATCAACATGAAATTAACAAATCTAACTGGGATCTACCCATGGCACTCTGACCTACACAAGTATCAAATCAATTGTGAAGGTCGTTTTCAAGAATAAAAAATAGCTTATATAAAAATGTAATTGTTGACTGACAGATGGCGACAGACAATCACCTATTATATGAACATCCTTGATAACTGCTAAAAGGCATCTGAAATTTGATGACCCGAGATGTATTGAAACTTGAACTTGAGTTTTTCAACTTGTACGGTAATTAAAAAAAGACATCAAAGTTAGAGGTTTGCAAAAAAACCTTCAAACTTAGCAGATACATCTGAAATATTGTAGATTTAGTTGGTTGATCAATTGAAATAGTAGTATTGTAATATGACAAAGCATTCAGTAGACGATTTTGTATTTATGTAACATTGTTATCAGATTTTGAGCAACATAGTACATGTGGTATTAATAGCTGTTCGCTAATAGCTTCCACAGCCAGTTCCCTTTTCATCACAAATTCACAAAATAGTCTGCTCTTTCCTTCAGAAGATAAGACAGAAATGAGTAAACAATTTGCTCAATTTTTTTCTGTTGACTCCAAATTAGGGTTCATTCATAGAAATATTAAAGATATAGAAAA